ATATGGCTCATAAGCCTGTAGTCCTTCAGACTTCCAGAAAACAAATTTGTGCTTTCTTCAGAGTGCTTTTGCCTGTGAAGAAGAGGTATAAAAAATGGACTCACTCATGAATATATTGAGCTCCTATTGTGTGCCAGACACTGGGACCATGAAAGGATCTTAAATAGGTCAAAAGATACAAATTATTATAGCACAGTGTTACTTGCCCTATAATACAAGACTAGAAACAATGCTCTGAAAATATAGAGGAAGATATGATTAAGTCACTTTGGGGAAATCTTCACCAAGAAAATAACCATAAACTGAGTTTTAAAGGGTGAACAGTAGGGTTTCTCCAGGGAGAGAAGGTTATTCTAGGAAAAACAGATACTTAGTGTTCCTCAGATACCCTATTCTTTTATCATGGTAATTGGGTATATACAGAGCATGGGATATACAAGAAGGACTGATGGGAAATGATGCTGGTAGATTGAAGTCCAATTGCAAAGTGCCTTGAGTGCCAGGCTCAGGAAAAACTATTTGGCCTGAGCTTCCCAGGCTTTTAGTGAAGCAGTGGCATGATTATACTTGCTGTGTTTTAGAAAGCCAATGCTGATGGCTAGGGGACATTGGATTGGGACAAGGGAGAAGTCAGAAATTATTGTCATAGTTTGGGAGAAGGAACAAACCCCTGAACTGGTTGTCATGCCTAATTACTCATTGAGGAGAACTGTAGGGGTAACATTAGTGAGGCTTAAAGATTAATGTAGAGACATACCAGTTGGATTTTTGGATGCACACACTGGTTTTCCATTTGTATGGACACACACCTTGTTTTGGTCTCCCCAGACTCAACCCAATTCTGACTTTTCAAGCCAACCATTGATTTATTTTTCTATCTTCAAAAAGGAGAGAAAATGTTTTAGGCCTGTGATCTTAGGGATTCTCTCTATGTGATGTGATTTTTGATCCCATAGGATTCTTCTGGCTGAGAAATGCTGAGTGCAAACACATTTTTGAAGACTTGGGTGCTATGACTATATTTATGTATTACAGATTATTTACCTTTTATGTATTTGGAACTGTTGTTGCATGTTTGAAAGCCCGCCTACTAAGCACTTTGGAGAAATCATTCTCATCCAGTGACCTCCTGGTAGGGAAACATTAGCAGAGCAGCTTACTCTCTTTCCATTTCAGGCTACCCACTGAATGCTGAAGGAGAATTTAGGTTTTAGGCAAAGGATTACACTGCAGTGCTTATGTCAGATCCCACACTTCTCTGGAATATTCTCCACTCTTCTAGTAATTAGAGACCACTCATCCTGGTTTTAACATGTAATGTAGGGTCAGAGTTGGGAAAAAGAAATCAACAAATACCAACTGCTTGCTCTTCAAATTATAAGCATCAAGAATTCATTTCTGTTGCCATAAAAGGGTTACATTTAATCTGGGGTAAAATGAGTGTTTCTTCCTTAACATGGAGTCGTCTCATTCCTACTCACCCAAATTCATATAACAGCGTGGGAAGAGTCCCCAAGGCATCTGACTTGTTTAGCCAAAAAGATTTTGGGGGTTCTCCTATGTCCAAATCCTGGGTTTCCATGGAGAAGAGGAAGCATTTGAGGTTGTTCTGGTTATTCATATACTGGTATTACCACCTGGGCAAGCAAGCTCCTTCAACCTCCTCGATTCCCAGTTACTGCGATAAACAAAATCCTGTTCATGTCCTGGAATTGCTGTGAAGACTAAGATAAGTGAGGCCACTTGAATAAAGTCTGACACAGGGTAGGGTTCAGTATATATTAGTACCTTTAGACATTGGTTTGTAGAAGTTCGGTAAAAGAGGCTTTTTCTTTAGGGAGATTTTTAACTTCGTTTTCAAAACCATTGATGGGCAGCATGTTACTTAAAATTCCTTGATTCTCATACATCTATAAACAGATTCTGATGTCAATAATGGAGGTATATGGCCAGTTACCCTCTTGGTGATCTAGAAAATAGGTATGTTTTTACTTTTTCTCTTCAGGCTCGTTACGGAAAGTAGAATCATTTCAGTGTTGAAAGACCGAGCTTTAGGAATCCTGGTCTTTCAGACTTTATAAAGCTCTGTCAGCAGGCTTCTCTGAAGCAAATTTTCTGAAAAAGCTATCTTTTTTTTCTTTTAAAACACATGGTAGTTATAGGTACATAATTCAAATTACCTTCCAGTCTTTGAAAAAAGTGTTAAATCATCTTGTTGAACTTTAGCCATTTTCTTGGCCATTCATATGGCTATCCAACAAATACTTATTGTGAACCTTTTATGCATTAAATACTGGTGTTATACCAGTGAGCAAGATGTAGTCCCAGAAATTGTCCCAATTGTAACTGACTTGGATATTTTGTCCTTCACAAAATTTAATTGGCATTTGTTGCTATCTGAAATGGAAGGTGGTTCTATCATCTTTTGAGAAGGGAAGAGCGGAATAGTGGCCAAACTTTAAAAAATTAATTGCATTAGGGTAAGTGACTGGAATACCCGTTTTCATTGACCTAATTGGTATATAGGTGTGCAATTATTTAAGTAATTTGTACTTCTGCGGTTTTATCGTTTTCATGCTTCATTATAACCCTGTATAGTCAAGCTGTTGAACCTGTTCCATTAAACAGTGTTAATCTCAATTACTTTGGGAGCTTTAAATAATATTCCCTTATTAAATATGTTCTTTGTTATGCTGCCCATGTTTTTGCAGTGTCAGAAGCTGCTGATGCTGATAAAAGCAAACATTTAGTTAAAAAACCTTTTCATGTTTTAATGAGATTTTAAAAAATAACACACAAATTTCTATTTCCCAGGGTTTTGGTTACAGAAAACACCTTGTTAGGCTAATTTAGAACTTTGAGTCCAAAGTCCAACCTCATGGCTTGGTTTTATTGGAGGGACATTAAAATAGTAGAACATTTTCAGTCTTGGTCAGAATGATGGTGTTGAAATTTCAAAAAGATTTAAATATGTCCATGAGACTATAAACTTCTTGAAGGCAGGATCTGTCACTTTCATTTCTGTGGCTCTGAAACATAGTTGGCTATTCTTTAAGTGTTTGCTGGTTGGAGTGGAACTGACGTGAATAATGAAGCAGAATTTGGGACTCTATGTTCCAGGTTTTCCTTATTTAATGTACATAGGACAACCCTGGCAAACCATCCTTTCTTCATTTCAGAAATTCCATTTTATTATGTTCATCTTTGATGTGGAACATTTTTATGGCCTCCTGTTGTGACTCATTTTGGTGGTGAATTAACTGCTTCCTTGGAGCCCAGCCCTTCCTTTTAAGCTGTGGTATTCAGGCTCCCCAAAGTTAGTTTGCCTCTGGGTAGAGATCACAACAAAATGTCCAAATGATACTTCAACTTCTAGGTAAAGACAGAACTAAAATTAAACTCTGTACCATGTAAGCCACCTGTAAAACAAACAAACCTAGGAGCATTTGTGTCTTCCCATTAATTCTTGGCTAGCACAAGGAAATTAATCTTTTGCGCAGAGATAAAAAGGTGACCCAAGACCATCTCCCCACGTTAAGAAAAAGTTCTAAAGTTTTAGTGTGGAGTCCAATTTGGCATTTAACTTGAAAACCTACTCCCATATCTAATTTAATTGTCACAACCCCAAACAGATTCACATATATGTGCTAAGTTTATAGGTTCAATATTAAAATAGAATGGGGGGAGAAAAGCAAGAGGGAAAAGTGTCAACTTCTCTACTCATCCTTTAGTTGTCACAAAGGGGTTTGCTCTGTGCCTCATCCATTAGTCTTGCACAGTTTCTCACACTTCAGTGTGCCTATGAACTATTGTATAGGGTTGTTTACCCAAAACCACACAGTCTCTGTCTTATGGGTGATTTAAGAGACCTCAAAGAGAACTTTTAGCTATCCTCATACATTCATCTCTAACAACTACTTCTGTGCATGTATTGCACAAGAAAATGGTGAAATGGAGAGGCAAATTTCTGGAGAGACCTTTTAACCCTTTTCTGCCTAAATTTTTCACTTGTGTAATAGGGAGACCAGTTCCTGGTCCTCTCATCCTGTGCCTTGGCCACAGAGAAGCTTACGTCCAAAGTGTCATTGCTGTACTCGGGGTGACCTCTCCGTGCACATGAGCAGGTTGTCTGGTCTGGAGATGCCAGTAGATCTCATTTAGGGTGGGTTTCAAGTCTGGCTTCTTGCAGAGTCGCTGTGGGATGCACACGAAACTTCCTGAGCGTCTGGTGTCACTACAGGGGTTTGAGAGCTTGTTTTTAATAATGAGCAAATAGAATCGGCAACGGATGGAGAGTGAGATACCCGTCCTGCCAAACTTCTGTTAGAGGCAGGGGGCTGTCCTGCCCCTGTCAGAACTGGCTGGCTTCTGATGCTCTCCTGTCACACTGACAAAGGCTCCTTGGCTGGGCTGATTGGTCGCCGGCAATAACTGATATGGAATACTGATATATTCTCCCCAGCAGTTCCTTCCACTCCAAAGAGGCTCCTTTCCTCCCCTCCTCTCATGTTCCCGACCCCAGCCTGATGCCCAACCAACCCCGACCAGGACGCCCCTGCACCCGGGGGAGGACACGTCCTGGGCGTGATGCTCTGAGCCGGCAGTGAAATCCACCAGGCTGCTTTCGCTCCAGCTCGCTCTCCGGAGAGTCCTGCTCCAGACTTCTCAGGGTTTTTACAGCACAAACAACTGCATGTGGGCCGAGGGGAGGCTGAAAAGGACTTGTGTGTGGTGGTTTTATCGCCTTTCATCACTTTGCTGGCCTCATCCTGAGCCTTGCCTGGATTTCTTTCCGCCTAAGACACTGAGGAAGGATCCCTTCTCCTTCTTTTGACTCTTTCTATTTTTATGGTAAGTGCTTGCATTGAATGAGCTGCTCTGCAGTGAACTGAAGGCTCTCGCTCGCTCCCTCTCTTCCCAGTTAAGCTTTAGTGACCTTCTCTCTGCGTTTCTCCCTTTTTTCATGGATCCGTGTCTGCGGTGATCCAGCTAACTAGAAGGCCAGAAGTCATTTGTCTGGACTGTTTGTCTTTTAATTTTTATTTTATTTTTTATTTTTCATAAACCTAAGCTGCTCAGCTGGGATGGAAACATTAGCACTCTCTCTTTGTCCTTGAAGCGGCAGCCAGGGGAATGTGTTCATGATGGTAAACTGCAGCAGTGTGCAGGGAATCTGTGGAGGGTGACTGACAAATTTGGGCAAGATGAATCCTTGGCATGCTGAGGGTGCACTCTCAGAATCCGGAAGGGCCGGGGCTGGGCGGCCCACATAGCAAACTATTCTCTCTTTCCAGGTGAAGACGAGCACCCCTGTGAGTTATGTCGGAGTCTGCCCTGGGCAGCGGCACTTGAAGTACCTGTGCGCCCCCCCACCCAAGTCCAGAACGGCCCTGTATCTTGTGGGCTTTACAACTTGGGCAGTAACATTCGCAGCAGGCAGAATCCTGCACTGGCGGATGGAGTAATTCATGACCTCATTGCTGCTTTTCCTTTCGAATCAATCTCAGGGTGCCTGTTCTGCAAACCATATTTTACATCCTCTTCAGAGGCCGGTGGGGCAGTGATGATAGGAACGTTTTTTGAGTTGACAACATAGTTTCATCCTCCTGGGAGAGAAAATGCTTTGAGGCTACTGGAATGGTCAGACTTTTCTAAGTGGAAAATAAGCAGGTTTCTGAGGAAGAACATGCGTGTTGTAGCGTCCACAGGCAGGTTGTTTATTCCAGGGTATCACTCTTAGAAGAGTGCCCTAATTTTTCACCGGGTCTTCTGAGGCTTGCTGCAGACACAACCACAACTTCAGGTCTGTTGCTGGCTACCTGCCTCTTGCAGCGCATATGAAACCAGGAACATTTTTGTATAGTTCTCACTGGTGGCTGATGGGAGTAGCTCTCTTTACAAGGGAATTTTCTTCTCTTTTTTTGTTTTTGGTAGCAGGTGTGTTGAATTATTTTGGCATTCCAAAGAATAAGCTTCACCGTGGTAATTCTGCTTAGTTCTTTTCCAGCCTTGGTCTGGAGCCGGGTTCTCTTACTTGATTTTGTATGGGGTTTCCAATTCTGATCCATTTCACTCTAGGGAGGGTTCTGATCAAATGTAATTCAGCCTGTGATTTGTAAGATACTGCACTAATAAATGTGATTTTTGGTAACAAATGAGAAAAAAAAAGTGGGATGAAATGTCTAGTCTTTCCCCCTGTTGATTGGGAGTTTGGGATATAAAGTTCCTTAACTGTCTTGCTCATTCACACCACTTTTATTTCCACTGCCTGTGTGGATTTTTCTTAAAATAGTGGTGATGACATCCAGCATATGCTTTTATTCTGTTCCCTGGGTTCAAAGTAGATATAATTGGTGGAGGGTTCTTACATGAAAGCATATATTTAAATAAAGAGCAAGAATTTGTGGATGTTTACATGATAGCCCAGTTGCAGAGCGAAACCAGCAAATAGGTTAACAGCATCAAAACAAAAAATTAGAACCCTTGCAGACTGTAGTTTCTGAATCCTTAAGTAATGTTTGAAATACTTTCAGCATTGTTTGGATTAGCTGTTCTAATATCCACTCTTTTTCCTGCACTCAATTATGGCTCATAGCAATGTTGTGAGCTGACTGGTAGACATCTCGGCTTCCTTTGATCATTCTTTCAGGCTTACTTGTTTACTTTCATCTTTAATGGTGTTTTCTTACCTTGCGTATTCTTTTTTTCCCTCCAGTTGCAAGGTTTTTTTTATCAGGTGCTTGGCAACATAATTTGAGCTATTCATCAAGATGGAAAGAGTTAGAATCAGCTTGTATGTCATGGAAATAGACTCTGTATTTCATACTGCAAGCAATTTTGGATGCATTTAGGAAATATTTCCCTTTAATTAGTAGCAAGTTTAGTTTTGAGAGAAAAAAATTCCTTAGGCTTCCTTATCTTGCTGAACAAAATGTTTGCTTATGCAATCAGAATTTTGTGTGAGTGTGTATGGGCATATATGTATGTATATATGCAAACATATAGAAATGTACTGTTTACTTATGACTGTTATGTGAACATATTTTTAATAGTTGTAGCATGCTTATTTAGAGAATAGAACAGAATTCCTAAGCTATTGCTTAGCAACCTCTAGCTAGTTGTTTTTTGTTGTTGTTGTTTTGTTTTGGTTTTTTTTGTAGGGATTTCCCCACTTCTTACACCCCTCCTCCAGATAACGCCTTTGGGAATTTCTTTGAATTGGGAGAATGCATTCTACAGCATTTCCTTGTTTCACAGCATGGTGTCATGTTAATTCCTTTGCAGGGTCTCTGAAGGCAGCATAGAAAACTACTGCAGGAAAAATTGATAAAAGCGGTGCTGAGTGGAGCCAGTAGGCTCTTGGTGTGATGAAGTCACCACAACGTTTTATTTGTGTGTGTTAATTTAGCTGCTGCACCTTGCAGCTGATTTTGCTGATTTGAAATGGTCTAGAAGCACCTAGATTGGTGTAGATGCACTCATTCATTTTTCACACTTCTTAATTACAGCTATCATTAAAACTGTGTTTTACCGTTTCTTTTGGTGGTGGTTTAATTTGAAACCTGCAGCTTCTGTGGTAAATCAGTATTCCATGTTTATCCCTTTTGTTTCTGTTCTTTCCTACTTCTGCTTTCTGTATGTTTCTGTATGTGAGCATGCATACATGTACACATAGAAACTCAAGCCGTGAAAGTTGATGACTAATGAAGAGTTGGTTACAGCTTTTCTTTTAGTAGCCGAACTCCAGAGTTCAACCTCAATCTTGTTCACGAGGGAAGAAATTGCCCCCAATAATACAAATACAACCTCATGCTTCTGCAGGCATTGTTGTCATTGAAACTATTTTCCATAGTTGATGACCGGGACCAGAAATAGAATCAGTTTTGCATTTTAATTGACATTCTAGATCTGTCTAGGTTGGATTGCCCTCAAATTTTGACATGTTTACTACCTACAAGGTCTTTGTATTAAGAGGGGGGTTTTATGGAGTTTATTTTTACAAAGTAAAAAAAAAAAATTGATTATGTGACACAGCCTTTCTTTGGGCATTGGATGAATCATATTAAGGATATTGACTGAATTTTTCTGGTGCTTTTTCCAGTATAATTAATATAGTCCCTTTACCATCTCTCCATGAGACTTTTTTTTTTTTTTTAACAGAGAAAAAAGAGGAATGTACAACTCCCACATAAAGCTGCTTAGGGAGAGGACTGTTCTTTAACAGAGACTTAAGACCACTTCTAACACCAGCTATGGTGATCTACTTTGAAAGGAACTTGCTATTCAATTGGCAACTTAGACTGTATAAAATAGAAGAAATGCTTCATGAGCTGTGTCGAATACTGCATTTTTGATCTGTGCCTCCCTATTGAATTCATCTAGGACTATAGTCACTAGACAGCTTTGCAGAAGAAAATCATGTCCTCAGTAGCATAATAATCTAGCCAGACTGTCATAAATGTTTATGCTGCAAGTTATATCTCTTGGGTTGTAGAGGGAGATGGCAGAATTTTGGAGGAGAACTAAATCACAGCCCCAAAATAAGGCAAGACGAAAGGGGGAAATTCTTCCCTTTATTTAGCATTTAATTCTCCAGTCAAGCTGTTGGCTCTTAAGTCTGAAGATCCAAGAAATTGTTAAAAACACATAATGACATGTTTTAGAAGCCTTTTTGCTGATAGAGATCTTTGACCCTTAATTAGGCATCTGCTCTAAGGCATCAGTGACCTTTTGGCTTGTGTGAGCTAGCAGCCATTCTTATAGAAAGTAGACATCTTGTAATACAGCAGGAATTTACTTACAGTTTTCCTGTTGGTCTCCCACTGGGGACCTCCTATGAGTATCAGAGGGCATGAGTGTCTGGAGACAGTCGAAGAGAGCTAGTCACAGTGGGATGCCTTCAGGACCCGGAGTTCCAGTGCAGCTCCAGGCACCAACTGCTGTGAGATTCAGACTCCTATCTGCTACCTTGGGCTTGGGCCAGATAATCTCAGAGGGCTCCCTCATCTATTGAAAATTATGAACTGTTGTTTTACCTCTTTTTTACTAGATGGGTGGTAATTTTTTTTATTTTTTAATTTTTTATTAGATTATGTTAATCACCATACATTACATCATTAGTTTTTGATGTAGCGTTCCATGATTCATTGTTTGTGTTTAACACCCAGTGCTCCATGCAGTACGTGCCCTCTTTAATACCCATCGCCAGGCTAACCCATGCCCCCACCCCTCTCCCATCTAGAACCCTCAGTTTGTTTCTCAGAGTCCATCCATGATGGATGGTAATTTTTATTTTTTTTATTAAAGATTTTATTTATTTATTTGAGAGAGAGAATGAGAGATAGAGAGCACGAGAGGGAAGAGGGTCAGAGGGAGAAGCAGACTCCCCGCTGAGCAGGGAGCCTGATGCGGGACTCGATCCTGGGACTCCAGGATCATGACCTGAACCGAAGGCAGTCGCTTAACCAACTGAGCCACCCAGGCGCCCAGGATGGTAATTTTTAAAGCAATTGATCCAGGTTAGACATTCTTGGAGAGGAGGTGGGCTGTACATTCCCTTGATCCTAGAACTATGACCATGACATGAGCATCAGAATTATTCAGGAAAGTGTGATAATGGTGAACCTTCATGAACGGGGGTCCTGTTTGTATGACTACCTGCTTACCCTGGGACATTTTGAAATGTTTCTCCTTACCTTCAATAAAGGACCTTGAGGAGTGTTTTATCAACCCTCTCATTTCCTAAATAAGGAAGCTGACGTTCAGGGAGGTTAAGTGCCTCCCGAGGGTTGGAGACCTGGTTAGCACCTGGGCAAGACATTTTAGTGCAGTGTGCATGGATTTACTCAGATCCTTGTTCCATTCCTGGTGCGGAGCCCTTTCCACAATACACAGCTGACACTTACTGTGCCATTCATTGCTCACAAAACTGCTTTGTGGCATCTAACTCACTGGTGTCCATTATTTCTGGGTTCATTTCATGCAGATTACGTGGCTGTACCAGTCAGAGTGAGTCACATCAAACCAATATTTATGGTAATTTGTTCATGCTTATGTAGAAATGCATTTTTTGTATTGAAGTTTTGCTTTTCTTTTGAACATTTTAAGAATCTTACAAATACTGGGGCACCTGGGTGGCTCAGTCATTAAGAGTCTGCCTTCGGCTCAGGTCATGATCCCAGGGTCCTGGGATCGAGCCCCGCATCGGGCTCCCTGCTCCGTGGGAAGCCTGCTTCTTCCTCTCCCATTCCGCCTGCTTGTGTTCCCTCGCGCGCTGGCTCTCTGTCAAATAAATAAATAAAATCTTTAAAAA